TCGCGCAGGTCACTAATCTCTTGACACATGGGCTTTGAGACCTGGGCCACGGGGAGGGAGGCTGAAAGGGAAGAAAAGATAGTGGGGACAATGGCAGGGCCGCCGGCCGGCTAATAACCCCTCTCCCGGCTTTGTCTGGGTACACTGAGCACTACGCTGGGATCAATTCAACTCAGCAGAAAAAACCACACTCCTGCACGGCAGAGGGGCCGGTGTGTGCCCCCGCCGTGGGTGCCCCGTGAGGATCCTGGTTCGCCAGGCTAAGTGCAAAGCTCGAGACGCTGCAGGTATTAATAGCCCCCGTTTTGTAGCCGGCAGTAATTCCCTCCTGTGTTTTCGCCTCCACGCTGAAAACAAACCCTTCACTTGATCCGTTTGTCCTCTCCAGTTGCCATCTGTCTTCCATCCTTCAAATCTCACCTTAAAAACAGAGCCTCTTGAGCAAATCCTGCCCGCCGTCCCCGCGCGCCGTCTCGCCCGGCGCAGGCCTGACACTACAAGCGCCCGTTGAAGTGAAGGGGATTTGAGAGCGCGCAGGACACGGCGGGATTAAGGCCACAGATTGTGCTCTCGAGGCCGCACCATGTCTGCAGAGCAAAGCCCCGGCCCTGCGGCTCCGCCGGCCTGGTGCCGCCAGCCCGAGCCCAGGGGCTCCCTCCGCTCAGCGGCGAGGTGAGGCTCTGCCGCGCTGGCATCACCGTCCCGTGGGCAGGGATGGAGGGAAGCACCTGAGCCCACCTCCCCAGGTGCCCCCGGGCACCTTCCTCTGCAGATGGACGCAGGAGAGGTCACCCCCCAGCCCCGGCGAGGAGGCACGTGGGTGTTTCGAGCGGGGGCCGCCGGTTTGCGCAGATGTGGCGGGTGCCCCCCGCACCACCCAGAGGCAGCAGCTGCGGGGCGGCCCCGGCCAAGCCCGTGAATCAGGCTCACATCAAAGCACCGGCAGCGCGAGCACTAACAACCCTGGCAGCCGGCTCCGAGCGGACAGTGCCTGTGCAGATGTTCAGCAGCAGCTTTTCTCAATTACAAAGAGCAGCAGAATTTACCAGAAAACTCAGGGAAGGAGTCCTGGCCAGCGGAGGGGCCGCAGCAAAGAGCCCACGCATCACTTGCGGCTTCCCAGGCTGGGTCAGAGCAGCACATCACCACCTCCCTCCATTTTAGCACCAGTGTTACCTTACCCCACGTTTCCCTGCAGCCCTCGCCGTGGGGGTCACCTGCTCCCATCAAAATCTTGGTCTTCTTTACAAAAAACCCACCTTGCAGGGCTTCACAGGCGTAGGCGAGAGCTCAGACGTGACCACATCTGATCCAAACCTTTGGAGCCGGTGAGATTCGTCCTGGAAAATAAACCCACATGATTTCAAAGCCAATCGCGTGACCTACGGCGAGGTGACGTCTGGTGTTTTTTGGCTGAGCCTGGCAAGGGCAGCCCTGATCCTGCCCAGCTCCCACAGACCGTGTGAACTACCAGGAGCAGGAGTCTCGTGGTCCGGCCAGCCACCCAGGGGGGACAATGGCATCACTCCCACATGACAGCTGGACTTTCCCCCTTCTGAGATCAAAAGGAGCAAAATTCAACGTACCTCGAGAGGTGGCTGCAACGTGGACACCCGTCGTGTGGGAGAAGAGGCAGAGGGATGGGCTCTGTCCCCTCTGCCCACGTCCTGCCCGTGGGGGGAGTCGGGGGAGAGGGTGCGAGGTGGGGTGGGGAGGCAGGGCATGGGGCTGGCCCTTCGCCCCAGGCTGCAGGTGCTGCCTCTGGTTTTCTGCTTGAATGAAGCCGCTGGTCTGAGCGTGGCTCGTAACCTTCAGCCCACAGCCAAACCTTGCCAAAGTCCTTTCACCAGGTTGTTCAAAAACGAACGTGCTCGCCCATCGCTACCCTCCAGGACCATCAGGTATGGCACATCCCAGGGGCTGGTGAAATGCTGCCGTGCTGGACCAGCGAGCCCTCCTCGCCGCGGGACGCAGAGACGCTTGTGATCCCTCCAAAACACATCAGGGGTGTCCCTGTTCCCCCGTCCCTGGGGTGTATTTAAGTGAAAACGCGATCAGTTCTTCCCCCATCCTGCTTCCCGCGGCGGGGAGCGGGAGCAGAGCCCCAGGAGGAGGCACTTGGCACCTCCCCGGAGAAGGGGCCGGGGTGGGAGCGGGATTAGCACCCGGCTGGCACCGGGCTGCTGCACGGGCACAGCCGGCACCGGCCTTTTATTACCGTCCTATAATAATATTGTAAATACTCACTGGGAAGTAATTACATCCTATAAAAGAAGCAGCAGTCTGTGGTTTGAGCCAGGACTGGTTCATGACACTTGTTTTAAAGAGACGTTTCATGTCTTGTTTATAGATTAGATTTTAACCTGACAACCTTTTAACATTGTATTAAATTAGAAATTAACTTCGTATGACTGCTCACCGTATAATTGACCTACTGATAGGCTGAGTGCAAGAGAATATTTAAGATACCTTTCAGACAGCGAAGTTCCCAAGAAAATTCAGAGCCTCCTCCTTGATCCAGACCAGGGCTTTGCTATTAATCAGTATTTATGGTCAGGTGGAAGGAGTGCTTCCCGCAGAGGGGGGGCTGCCAGGGAGCAGCATCCCTGCTGCGTCCTGCCCATCCCTGGGGCCGCGATGAAACCCAAGGGGATGGAGGGAAGGAGGTGTAGGGGACAGGGAAGGCTGCAGGCCCCAGACCCTGCCCGTTGCAGTGACCATGCAGTGAGGCCAGTGGTTGCCCTCCTGCGGTTGCCTCAGCCAGAGCTGCTGGGAGATGAACCCATCAGGGATGGAGCTGCCACCTTTGAGAGAGCTGGATCCTGCAAGGTCGTGGCCACGGGGACAAGCACAGGACTGTCCCCCGTGCGGGGCAGGGCAGGCAGGCAGCTCTGCTGCTGGAGGAATGGTGCTGGTCCACGGCACACGTGGGCTGTAAGCAGGCAGCTTACCTTGGCCGGCTCGGATGACACCCGTGCCTGCGACCTGCCTGCAACTGCATGGGGCCGTCAGTATTTGAGTGTAATTTCCTGCAGCAGAAATTCCCAAGAAAGGCAAAAATTCAGCCCTGGGAACTCACCGACAGATGTACAGCTTCAAATTACATCCAAACCCAGCGAGGGACAGGGTGATAACTGATGGGCCAGTATCAGTGCCCAGGCCCAGCCAGGAGTGGCCGTGTGTCCCGAAGGCTGGGGGGACACGTATCCTGCAGTGGGAAACACCAGCTCCAGCGCTGGCCCCACTCGTGGACAGTGCTGGAGGAACGAGGGTACAGGTGGGCACCGGGCGGGATGGGGGAGGCACCCACCCTGCCCTCTCCGTGGTCCAGCTCCGGAGTTGGTGGCTTGTCTCCCCACTACGACCTGCCCTGTGCTTTCACCAGCAGAAAGACATTTTCTGGTATAAATAAACCTCCTCCCACCACGTGCAGGAGGCGGGAGCACTGAGCAAGACCTCAGTAAAATCAGCCATGGGAGGTTTTACCTTGTCGGGCCGGGAGGACTCTTCAGTACAGGCCTCAGTTTACGCTTGCTAAGGAACAGCATGAGGTTAAATGCCCCCTGTGCACCTTTAGGACGAGGCTTAGGACGTATTTACAAACAGCTCTGCGTAACACGGGGCCATCAGCAGAGACCCCCCACCCCCTGCACACACACTGGCTGCTTTGCCCCTCGCTTTGGCTACGAAGCCCCTTGGGGATGCAGCCACAACCTCCGCCAGCGCGGCAGGGCCCTGCCTGCACCCGCGAGGCTCCGGCAGCGGGGCACCCCCCGCTCTGAAAACGTCAGCCCAACCCTTGTCTTCATCTGCGCCGTCTGCTCCCGCAGCCAGCCTCGCCAGCCATGTGCCGCGTTGCCCAGTCCATGGCCTTTCCCGGCTGAGCAGTGCAGACATGGGCCCCCCCAGCGCTGCGGGGCGGCAGCACCTCCACCGAATTCCTTTGGCGGGGGCGGAAGGCACCGAGGGAGACAAAACCCAGGGGTGAAGGCTCAGGCAGCACCGGGGCAGCCAAATGGTTTGACACCAGAGCGGGAGCGGGGCGACGGCGGGAGGGAAGCGCTGCCCGGCGGTGCAGGGGCGGGCGAGAGGCAGAGCTGAAGCCCCTCGGCTCCTCCTAATTCTGTTCCCACCAGCTCTGCCCCCACGAACGAGAGCAGGGAGCCCCGGGACGGGGTCTGTGCGGTTACCAGGACAGAGGCGCTGCCGCTGCAGACACATGCTTGTCCCGGTGCCTCTTCCATCTGTGAAACAGGCCAAGCAGTGGATTCAATTATTTTTTTCCTAGCACATAAGCCACTAATCATTTATTGCATTAAAAAAACCCCACTCATCTCCACAACTTTTGTTCCCATTTCATCCCATTAAAACTCGGAAAAAAAAAAAAAAAAAAAAAAAAAAAAAAGTTTCCAAAAGTTTCCCTTTTTGCAATCACAAAGACCCGATCTCAGCTCCATTGACTCGCTAATTGTAAGCACTCAAATGGTTGGGTTTAAAGTTACACTTAGCAGCTGTGAAACATTAGGGTGAAGTGATTACAACCTACTGGAGGATACCGAACATTTTTACAATATCTCAGGAGCATAAGGGAAAGACAACAGGAAATGGCGCAAACTTTCCTACCCTGCACAGCAACAAGCCAGAGCAAAGAAGCGAGAAAATAAATGTAGAGAGGCGGCGCAGACGCGGTTTGGATCCTCAAAAAGCGGCTGAGGAAGCCCCGGTGAAAGCACCGTGTGTTCACCCCCATGCTCGGAGCGGGGAGAGAGGAGGGGGAGCAGCGTCCAGGGGTTTCACAGCTGCATTTTGCAGCAAAACCCTCCTCCGGGCTCTCTGTTGAGGAAGGAGAACGGGGATCTTGGTGGCATTCTGCCCTCGGTCGGTTCCCCTCGCTGGCCGGCCTTCTCCCGGCCTCGTTGCCAGCGGACTTGTGTCTCGGGCTGGCTCATGGCGCTTGGGGCAAGGCCACCAGGGGCTGTGGCAGCAGGACGGGCAGAGCACCACGCTCCCTCGGGGCTCCTCAGGGCCGAGCTTTGCCGGCAAAGCAAACGAAGCCCGAGCCCCACGTGCTCTGGCTATGCCCAGGCCCTGGACTGGCTCTCAGATTTGATTTCATTTGAACTTCAGGCTGTCACATTTAGACAACCTTTGACTTTCCACTTCTTTTCAAACAGCAAAACATTCCCCTCCCATACTTTAAGCACGGTACACGCGTGTGTTTATTACAGAAACCAGGGTAGGATAAGAAAGCAGTATTTCATGTTAATTCATGAAATCTGAACTCAACTTTTAATAGAAGAGCTCCACTTTATGCGCAGAGTGATATACAGTCTGCCCCGCTTTAAATGAGACGTTTTGCCTTTTGAACTCAGCAGGAGGCTGCTGCTTACTACTACTGGAAACAGTTTAAAAACCTGCAAGTCCTGCATGTCTTTTGGGCTCTTTTTGAGCCAGTGGTTTATATCATGGCACAACATTCTTGCCGGGCTGCCTGCGACCGCCTGCTAGCTGCTGTGTTTGAAAAATCCCTCGTTTCAATAACTCACCTGGATTATTTCCACAACAACAGGAGACGCTTGTCCGAAATCCTTACAAAGACCATGAGCCTCTGGCTATTTTTGCTTTAAGTGGGGTTTGGATCAGGTCCCTAGATTGAAAACCTGGTCGCATAAAGGTCAGGGGCAAACGTCCCTTCGGAGCATCTTCTAGACACCATCAGCGAGCAGCAATATTCTCGCTTGGTGCCTGAAAAGAGGTTAAGGTGGAGGAAAGGTGGTGTTGCAGGAAAGCACGTGGCACCCAGTTGAAATGAGGGGTTTTGTGTGGAGGCTAAAAGCAGGGGCCATTGGTGGGAGCAGGCGTGTGCTGTGCGAGAGGCACATGTTGAATCAAGACCCTATAGAGCTATTGTTGAATCAGACCCTACAGATTTATCGTGGAATCAGACCCTACAGAGTTCTCATTGCAACACACTTGGCTTTCACTGGCTCACTGAAGAGCTGGAACTCGGTGGTTATTCTGCTGGGTCATCTGTGAAAGTATCAAATTAAAGTTAAATTAGCCACCTCATAGCAGTGCACTTTTTTTTTTTTTAATTGTTTTAAGCTCTAGGCTTTCTTAACAGTTTGGCTACGGGGCTATCAACAGTGGGGAATTTAGGACATTCTTTTCAATGAACCAGACTGAAAATATTTTGGTACAGCCCCAGTTTGTAGGGTTTTTCTCCCCCCCCTCCCCTTTAAACAAAACATCCTGATTCAAAGGAGCTTCTTGCAGACTGGGAATTTCCACATGGCCGTATTGCAGCACTTATAAAAAGTGATTTAATGCCTGCCAACAACAAATACATTTCCAATGACACCACTCTGCGTTATGCACTATCCTACTTTGTGTGTTCAGAAAGAACCAGCAACCAAGCTGTCCAAGGCAGGGGGGAGAAGAGCAGTCGCCTGCCTTTGCAAGATCTTTGTCCCTTACAGCTGCTCCTTGGAAAGCCTGAAAGGAAACAAGCATCACGGTGACAACACAATCCCTTCTGTATGTGTTAATCTGGATTTTGTTTGAACTTTTGAAGCTGACCTTGGCTTGAACTGTGTTAAAAAATCCTGACTGGTGTGGACTGACTTGACCCTGTGGTCCCATTTGTCCGCGGTGCCAGCCCTACCCTCAGCCCCTTACTACAAGCCATTATTTTACAGACATAAAAGAAACATAGCATTACAGCAGATATAGCCAGCGGGACGGAGCTGCAAGTACTTACTTACGGGCGAACTCTCCTCTGATTTCATCCCAAGTTGGTTTTTTTTTTTTTTTTTTTCTCGAGAAAGGACTGACTGAAAACCAAGCAAGAAGCTGAAATTATTGCTGCAGACTCTCAGTTTTTATTAGTGGTTTCCAAGCCTGAAGAGAGAGGAAAAAAAAAAAAAAAAGCTGCTGAGATCGGAGTCGTGGCGTTACAGTTAAAAAAAAAAAGATCAAGTCCAAGACTGAATTTGGTATTTGGGGTTTGGGGATGGAGTAGGAAGAGGGTGGTCAGTTCTGCATCACTCAGTGTGGCTGGTTTAAGCTGTAAGAGTGCGAAAAGATTTGTGGGTTTAGATAGTTTCCTCTCATTGCCATGACTCAAACGGCTTCTATTAAAAACAAGTAGCGGGAAGGAAATTTCATAAGCTGACAGTCCCCTCTCACTCTCTGCTTCTCGACACAAGTTGGCTGAGATATAGGAATTCATGTGGTTACTATGTGTGAGCCCATGACTTTTATCAGCAGAGTTATGCGGTGCTAGTTTTGACTGCGCACGTTCAGTGGGACGTATAGGCTCAGGCTGCTAGAGGGGATCTGCAAAGCCCCTTGTACGTGATCCTGTAACACAACAGACGTGGGTGGGGGTCTCTGCTGCCCGGTCCTCATCCCACCAAAATCAGCGGGGGGAACAACAGGGCCCCAACCGACCCAAGGAGCCGGAGCTGGGCTCAGACACCCCAACAGAGATGGGTGTTTGTTTCCAGAAGCGCCGAGTAGGTGCAAGGCGCACCACCTAAGTCTCCCATTTTTAACCGTCTTGCCCTTGCACATGGGGATGACAAAGCGGGGAGGCCAAACCAAGCTAGACTGGCTGCATAACATCCCCTGATGGCTTTAATTAAAGCCCTCCAGTTAGTAAATATGCACATCGTCTGGTCCAGGAAGATATAGGAAGCCCACAGCCAGCCCAGTAACACTCCATGAACATTGCCATTTAAGCAGTTTCTTGTTTTAACTTAGATTTATTCAATGACACATGCATTCTGGACAGATATCTGAGTTCCAGCGAACAACTTTTATAACCAAATATGAGAAATTTGTGACTGCAGTTAGTCAATTAAGTACGTTTCTAAAATACATGACTAAGAAGAAAACCGGAGCGAGAGAGAGAATTCTTCCAAAGAACAAAAAGAAACATTTCCATTTGTAATACTCCTGGCATTGACGAGTATCAGTGGGGAAGGAGGGCAGCAAGGAGACGCAACGAGGAAGGAATAACATTATCAACCCTGTCCACAGAAAGTTCTCCAGTTTTCACTCTCTCCAGTTCATTCGTTAATGCTCGGCACTTTTGCAAATGGCGACAGCTCCTCTGAGTTTTGGAGATTCATCTCCCAACACAAAAAAGCAGAGAACGGTTCCGAAACCATGTGCTTGACCAAAAATGGCTTAGAAATATTTCTCCTCAACCAACTCTTCCTGAACACAGCAAAAAAAGAAGCCGCAGAGCTATCAGGATTGAAGACGGAGTCTTTTCATATTGCACAGGAAAACAAAGTCAAGATTTCGTGAGTATGTTTCAGGAAGGTTTAAGAGTCGTCAATATTTATCAGGGTAACGAGAAGCATCCAGCGCAGCGGTGAGCCGGCAGGTGACAGACACATCGGGATTGTTCAGGCGGAGAGGCGGCTCGTCACCCTGTCTGGGTCTCCCCTCGGATGTTCGGTTAATTTAAGGGAATCCCGTGGGGAAAAGGCTGAGGGGCTGGTTTTCGTTAGTCGGGAGGGGCGATCTGTAGCCATCGAAGTTGCGTGGGATGCTGCCGCTGGTGGAACCGGAGCTGTTACTGAGCGTCTCTATGCTTCCCTCTCGCTGAAGCTCTGCAACAGGAAGAGAGAGCAGGTCCTGGTTAGCGTTTCAGATCAACCCGGAGTGCCGTTAGACGGCCGCTTTATTGACAAATCTGATTATTGTATCATTGCTCTAACATTCGCTTGTCATCCATCTTTTCTGGGGTGATTTGACGAATCACTCCAGAGGCATCCCAGCTCCTGCTTCCGCCAGGCTCGCAGCTCCACTGAGCTGAAGCGGAGCTGGATGGAGACATTAGGTGCTGCTCAGCAGAGCAGCCCCTTCCCTGGGGACGAGGCCGCTGACTCACGACATGTCAGGACCCGACCGTGGGGATGCTCACGGCTGAACTGAGCTGGGTGCGAAGGGCGCAGTGGCGGATGATGAAACATCCTTCCTCCACAGCAATGCTGCCGAGGTGGTGGGGAAGGGGGAGCAGCAGCAGCACCGGTTCCCGGTGGTGTGTATCTGTGGTGCGTAACCACTGTGATTCTCCACGTTGGGAACACCAGGGACTCTCTGCAACCCTTTAACCTGTGCAAACGGACATAAGTAACTCTGCTTTTTCAAGCCAAAGAGAGAATATCCCCTTTCTTATGTGCCTGGGCTATGCCTCAAAGCAAAAGAGAAAGCAGGCCTGACTGGCTCTCCGCCTCCTGGTCACACACATCCAGACATCTCCCCTTGATGACCTCCCAAAGCCTCTATTGCTCCCTAATCTCAAAACACGAGGATTTCTGTGTGCGCAGAGCATCGTTTCTAACCACGGCCTCTCTGTGAGACACTTGAACCCAACAGTTGCCTCGGTGGCAGCGTGCAGCAGCACCGCGGGGCAGCATCCCCCCGGCCGGCACTCAGCGGCGGCATGCAGCGGTGAGATTAGGCAGAGCCCCACGTACACGACAGGAATCCTCTCCCAGACACGCGGTGACAGGCTACAAGAAATATTCTGGCGAGCTGCAACGCGCGGCCCCGAGTGCGATTTCCGTCGGCTGCTTCTGCACAGCCTGAGCTGGAGGGGCCGGGATGCGGACAGGAGATTCGGGCAAATTCCTCTGCTGCCAAAAGGGAAAAGAGGAAAAAAAAAAACCCACCCTCTTGTTTGCTGCACGCCACAGTGTCGTGCATGTAAGGCACAGGGGACAAACCCCTGGGGGAGAAGGCAGCTTTCCCTGTCCCTGCAGCGGGAATTTTGCTTGATGGGGATGGAAAGAAGCTGCAGAGTGGCGCCCGCTTTGCCCTCTGCTAAATATTACTGCACGCCTCTGTGTCACGCCAGGATATTTAACCTTTTGCAAACACCACGACAGAACTTTTGCTACAACGGGACTCCACGACAAGGACATATCTACATGCGAAGAGCATGGCAAAAGCAAGAAGTCAGTTCTTGGCTAAAACAAAAGGCATCCTGCCCCAGCATCCTCGGACACTGCGCAGCTACCTGGGCATGGCAGCAAAGGGCCTGGGGATTTAATCCTTGGTCGTGGAAGTAACTTGTAAAATGGAGATAATCTGCCCAGGATACGTGAAAAACACATCAGCAGGAAACCAGTCACCCTAAAAGCAGTGATGGTAATGACCTCAGCTGTACTAATCACGACTTCTTGCCAGTATTTGGTGAAGGAATGTCCATGTCTAAACCTCTTCATTTTCCTCACATCCTCACTCTCCCAAGAGTTCAGGAAGTAAAAACAGTAATTTAAATCAGAAATGAGTGGCGTATCCCACACTAATACTGTGCTTATCCTGTCTGATTTGGGGCTTTTATCTCCCTCCGCACACAGCTGGCTTCGGTTAAATGTCCCACGTCAGAGCTCTGGGGCGCTGGGCAGCCATCGCCCGCGCTGGGCAGGCTGGGGCTCCCCCAAAAAGCGTTTGGGCTGCTGAGCCCCTCAAGGGGCTACTTTGCTTGCTTACTCTTTTGAAGCTATAATTGATTTTCGGGTAAATGTTGTGTTTTCAGTAACCGTAGCAAAAGAAGGGAGAGGAAAAGCGAGGGAACATTTCTTTCCTCGCAGCCCGGTGGCTCCTGCGTGGCTGTTTCTGCCCCTCGGGCCACGGGGCTGAGCTCCTGCCTGCCAGCTCCTGCCCGCCCTTGGCCACGCCGTGTCCTGCGGTGACTTGTGTGGGACCACACAGCCTGCCGGGATGGGATTTGGGGGAATTTGGGCTCGCAGGGTGGCTTTCTGGGGGGGCTGTGTGATTTCTACAGCTGGCAGTGCTTGTCACCTCTGCGGGGGGACTGCCAGGGGGTGGCACTGCAGAGACTGATGCCAGCCAGGGAAAAAAGCACGGATAAAAAATCGGGCAGATTTTTTCGGTGGGCGCAGGGCCTGGCTTGGCGAGGCTGGCGCCCTGTCCTGGCTGTGCTGCTCAGCTCCGGCTCGGCGCTGCCACTGCTCCCCTTGCTGTTGTCGGGTACACAAACCCCTTCACTAAGCACCAGGGAGGGACAAATAGAGGGTAAAAGAGATGCAATGGAGGAACCAGAGGGGAAGTTTTCCAGCCCTCCAGGCTGCACAGAGACCGTTTTGGGTTCAAAGCGGGTCAGGCTAAAATCCAGGGGAGCTCCCACATGCGAGCTGCCATCCCAAGCGCCGCAGATGGCAAACGCACACGTTCCCCTGGGCAAACGAGTCCGGCCGCTCTCAAACGGCCCCGTGCCGCGAACCCACTTGCTCTGGAACTAATTACACGGCGAGGCAGACGAGCAATGTATTTTGATACCTAAGAAAGCATTGTAAAACTCCTGACCACTGCAGCAGAAAGCAGCACCGCTGTGCTCAGGAAATTGGGCTCTTGCCCTCGCCCGGGCCTGGCTCTCATGCACGGCCGGGTCACGAGAGATGGGCAATTAGCCATTACATGGTCACCGGGGACTACCTGCGCTGCACATCTGACCCCTAGGATGACAGTCAGCACATTTTCCTATGTTCTCCCAAATGACACTGTTTTCTCCCAGCTGTTTCATTAATTAAAAATATAATTAAACAAAAAAAAGTCTAGTGCAAACTATGATCTTTCCTCCCAGACCTTCCAGCAGACCAGGGCACGGCAGAAGCACAGGCAGAGGAACGCTGATGCCATTCCCATGGGAAGCTCGGACAAGACTGGGAATAGCTCCATGGCGTTGGGCCACCCCTTCTGTTACAGGGATGATTTCTGATAGACCCGACGCCTGGATAGACCCAACAAGTGCAAGAAGGAGCCGCCACAGCGTAGTGGGGCTGTTGGGTACCAGGAGAGGCAGGTCCCTATGGACAGGCAGTGCAGGCAGCGCTGCCCGCCCCAGGACGGAGCAGCTGAGCCCTGCGGCGCAGCTGGAAGGAGGTGAAATACTTCCCAGACCTAAATAAATGTGTCACGTAACCGGTCAGACCACCGATGTCCTCTGTGCTGGGAACACGCTTGCTGAAAAACACAAATAGAAGCAAAAAAACAGGATTCCCCTGAGGAAAGATGGGAGCGAGCGGCAGGAGGCTCTGGATGAAGGCTCGGCACCGGCAGAACAGCACACGGCTGCCCGGCAAGTGATTTCGTTTACTTTGGTGGAGTTACGCCAGGAATGGACTTGGCCCCAGCATGTCTGAGGGTTATTGTATCTGCATTCCCCCATGCATATACTGTCGAGATGTATTAACTTCCTTAAATGTACCAGTAAAACAACCTCTTATGATACACTTTAATGAACTTGTACAGTAGCCAACAAATTGTGCATCATATAAAACCCATTCGGCCTTATAGACTCTCTGGCTATTTTGTAATAACTGCAATTTGCTTCTGCTGAAGCAAGATAACCAGGGTTGAGAAGTCAGGCTTTGCAGAAACCTAAATATTTGATTTGGGGGGGGAGTGGGTGGGAGAAGGAAGAAAAGGGCCTCTGGGAGCTATTTATGGGGTCAAAATAACATGAGACCTGCTCTTCTCGTAGCATTTCTACCATCAAGGAAATGAAATACTGTGAGAAGACCAGCACTTGCATTATTTTGGCCCCATAAATGGCTCCCTGAGGCTTTCAAAAGCCCGTGAAAAACAAACACAAATACAAATAAATGCTAATACTGGAAACGTAAATACTAAAACCTGCCCATGTCCCTGGAGGAAACGACTCACAAAAGTCCTGACCGCCCTAAAAATCAAAAAAAAAGAGAAGACGGGGGAAAAAAGACGAAGGAGCAGGAACATCTGCTGAAGCCATGAAGAGAAAGTCACTTCAGGGGAGCTGGGAACAGCCCCGCCTGCGCTTTTGATGGTAACAGTAATGGGCACCGCTGGCATCACCCAGGGTCCCAGAGTAACAGGGATTTTCAGGGCACACGTGCTTTCCGCCGTGATGAAGGCAGCGGCACTAAAAATCCTCCCTGCTGCGGGGAGGAGCGGCCGTGGGGAGCAGGGGAGGGTGGGACGGTGAGCTGTCAGGGTCCCCAGCCCACCCCGGGGGCAACCGTCCCCCCTCCATGGCCCCGCAGCATCCAGCACGCTCGGGGGCTGCGGAAGCACCGAGGCTGCTGCTCGGAGAGCACCGGGGTCATTAAAGGTGTTGGGAAGCAAATGCTGGCTGCTCTCTCTTGGCAGGACTGCCCGCAGCCCGGCACGGTGCAGCCTTTCTGCGCCGTTCGTTGCATGAGAAATTGAAAATGAAACCTCCCACCAAACACCTCTTTCTGCTCATATTCCCCACTGCCACGCTGCAGCCCGACGGTCCCGTCCCTTGTTGTGCAGCCCAAGCCACTCTGCTCTCCCTGAGCCAAGGTGGGGAGGAGGAGGAAGAGGAGGAGGAGGAAGAGATGCTCTGGGCACTGCCTGGGGTCCTCAGGTCTGGGGGAACAGGGCTGTCCCCCGCCCAGTGAGGTGGCTGCACCCTCAATTCCAGAAAGCTCCAGGAACTGTCAGAGGACCCCGTCAAATCCAGAAAGGCACAAAGCCCTGCCAAGCTTAAATGTGAAACCATTTTATAGGGCACATTAATTCAATGCCTGAAGAAAATCTATATAGCCCTCTTTTGCCCGGAACACTCATAAATTATGCT